GGGGATGTGGGTGTTTTGGCAAAAGCATTTATGATGTTTTTTTTTATAAGGATGTGGTTTAATGTTAAGTGCAGGCGCAACCAGCTGAGAAAACACCATCCGAGGAGCCATCTGCACCAGGAGCCGAGAGCCAGGGACGACACAGGATCCAGAGGAGAGACGAAGCCGAGGCTCCAATCCTCCACCAGGTCCATGAGCCAGACCCCCACCGCCACAGAAGGGTTTTGAGCCACAATCACAATTAAATGTGATACAAGGACAGAGAGAAAGATAAGAGAAGCTTTATTCGTTCCACAGTGGGGAAATGTCATTGTTGCAGCGCACATACAGGACAGTAGTAGCACACAGGGAACACACAAAATATACAATATAAAATATACAAAGTCGCTGCTGTTTCTTAGCTAGCTGTAAAAGCTTCAATATGAATATATCTCTATCTATCTACGCTGCCATTCACGACAGCAAGGAAAAGATTTTGAACAAAAATAGAAAAAGAACCGGCTCCTAATGAACTACCTGACAAACACAGTCATTGAAAGTAAACTAAAGCGTTCCAGTGCTTGCTCCTCCCCTGCTCTGAGTGCTGTGTTTTGGGGCTGTCACAGAAAGGAGAGAAGGGGAGTGAGAAGGGGAGGGAACAGATGTTATCCTTATTGTTTGACTTGGCGATAAACCTTTCAGCTTAGACATGCGATTTGTAGCACGGAACATAACACTCAACAAACTAAAGCTGCCTTTTGAGTCACAATGACAAATTTTAAGCAGATACGAACACACAATGCAGCGGAGAGTTCACCTCAAATCACAGGATTAAAAGTTTGCACAAGAATCGGAACAGACCCTTATTTCTCAGAGGCACACCGTGTCGCCATGGCAACATTTCTTCTGGGGTGCAACAACTTCAGATGTGTCTTTTTTGTAGAGAAAATGCTAAAATCAAGTGGGTGCAATCATGTGTTGGCAGTATAATTATAAAAGTATCTAACTTTGAAACCCCAAAATAATTACTGTAACTAAAAATCTATGTAACTAGTTTTTTGCTCTATCACCAGTGTCCACAGGTATTTTTGTGGCCTCTGTCACATCTTTAGATCAGCTCTCTAGTAAGTAAAAAAAAAAAAAGAAAAAAGTGTTATGGTCTGATTTGTTCACTAAAAGTTAGGTATCCCAGCTTTAATCAAGCATTCAAAAGTGTATATATTGGGTACAAAATTTAGTAAGTAATCTTTCTTTTTTTTACAGACCAAGGTCAAATCCCCGTCCAACACCATCCAGTCACTCATTCATTACATTCATACCTTTTGTACATGTTTTTAGTAATAGGGATAACCGGAGCACCTGGAGGAAACCCTCATAGACACAAGGAGAACATTCAAACTCCACACAGAAAGGCCCTGTTCTTAACCCAGGACCTATTTGCTGAGAAGTGAGAGTGTGTTCACTTTGACAACAAAAAGGACAGATTCTATGTAACCAGCACTCTATATATAAAAATAATATGACATGTAATCTGGATGAGACTCCACCAGACTTCCACCAACAGCCGCAGTCCTGGCAGTTTTCCGGATCAGAGGCAAATCCCATTTCTGGGATGTACTGAAAATGTATAATATACTACAACTTGTTGTGTTATGTTGCAAATGAATCAAAAACAAAAACAACAATAGGAATTGATTAAAACTTAGAAGTGGTTAGCCATGAAAGCTAAGGTAGGAGGCTGCCGTGTTTTGATTGGCTTGGCAGACATAAACAAGAGCTGTACTTGTGAGTGACCCACAGGCTGACCTCACAGATAGACGCTCTTCTAATGGGTGTCTCTTTCAGCGGGCGGCTGAGGCGGCGAACACTGGGACCATTGTTCTGTGCAGAGAAAGCCGCCACCATCCCTGTTACACCGAGAGGAAGGGCCTGAAGGGGACATCCTCAGGGGTAAAAATAAGGCTAATATCAGCGAACATGACACCGCAGGCTTCTGATCTGAAGTAATGAGTTTTTGGAACCAAAGCTTTACACTTACACATGAGCCTTCAAAAACTCCATGTGCAAAAATAATAATATTTGTCTTTTTCTCTCAAATTTGATTTGTATTTGTAAACATTATTGTTGCCAACTTGCAGTGTAGTTAGACATTCAGAATATGAACACCATGCGCGCTGTATCTGATAAAAGAACGATGTGCTGCACAGTTTTAACAGAAGTCGAGAATAGTCCTAATGTGCACACATCATCATATATTGTTTTTTTAAACTATTCATTATCAGAATGCATTTTATGTCTTGCTAGATATAACAGTTCCAGCTCATGCTGTGGCCCTCCTCCTCCCCATCACCACCGTAACCGTGGGACTTTTTCATTTTATTGAGTCATCACTTCAGCTTTCATTAACTCCCTCCTCAATACGTCATGTCATGTTTGTCTGGGATTGACCATGGAACTGTATTTGACTGGGTTTGTTCCTGCTGAAAAAATGACAAAAGATGCAGAGGTCTCGGATCGTGTCACAGCAGAATATATTTTATCGTTGTTAAAAGACAAATTCACAGTGCACATGGTTTCATACCAGACAAAACAAAGACGCTCCTCTCAGAATGCAACACCAATAGATATGTTTGCTTCGACCTTCAAAGCAAAACATCAAGTGGAAAATCACTGACTTCTGCATAATGTTGTAATGATCCACTCAGTTTTAACATAGTTGCACACAAGAGCGCTTGTGTGCAACTATCTACATTTGGAGATACCTGTTGGTAAAAAGTGAATTATCTGTCATAAGCCTGCAGATGTTTTATCTTGTACGTTTAAGAGAGGCGTGTTGTGCCCACCCTGGGGGAGGACGGTCTCCTCGATGCATGTGTGTCAGCGGTGACAGGAGCTCTTTTCACCTCAGCAGACAAACAGGTGAGTCAGGTGTGGGTCTGGATGAAACTGTATCGAGCAGACAGCACAAAGGAGGTGCCACGTGTCTGCCCCGAGGGAGGAGTGAAACAGTACACACGTCCTGGCTGGAATATGTGGAAGACAGCGTTACACTGTGACATGGAAGTCAGCCTTACACTGTATCAAAGGGCCTTCACACTGTTGAAGAGGAACAGTATGAGCTGAGTGTGTGTGAAGACATGTGTGTGAAGTTATGTGCACTGTGTGCGGCAGTTTGAACATTGTTCAAAACTTATTTTTTTCTGTACCAATAAATGTTACAGACTCCTTAAATGAAATGTGACGAATGCCAGATTTTTGTTTGTCATAATATTGGTGATTAGGGCTTACAATCCATTTCCAAAATAGTCTAATGTTCAGAGTTTTTCTTGAACATAAGTGGCCCACGACAAACACGAGCTGCATTTACTGAACTCTGGCTGAAAGCTTTTGAGTGGAAAGAAGTGGTGCTCATTTAACTATTACACAAACCTGACTGGTGTGTGGTTTACTTATTTAATTACAGGGTGCATAAAAACCACAAGAATAAGATACCTTCAATAAAGTTTTATTGAAAAAAAAAAGTACCAATAAACAACAAGAAATCCGGACAAAGCTCCATATGTACAGCATATTGCACTACATTACAAATTGTCTTCCATATAATATCAACAACCAAAAATATATAAACACAAAATGAGTGCACAGTAGAGTCTCGACAACACACAGTCAATGTTTACAACAATGCTACATGTTCGCTGGGTCTCATTTCTTGGTATACAGAGAGTGTGTGATAATCAAGACTGTAAAACTGAGCAGTTAAAGGCATATTCCCGTGTTCGCTGTTTAAAAAGTCCATTGTGACCACTAACGTAAAGGCTTTCACACCCGGAGATGTGCAGGGAATGTGTGCAGAGTTCATCTCATTACTCAATGCCCTGGGTCACTAAGATGTTGTACAAATTTGAACTGTCATTAAAAGAAAAACCATTTATGAAAATACATGTTAAAACATTACAAAAGACCAAGAAGAAATGTCTTAGTTTAAAAATTCAAATTTAAAACCTTCCTCAAAAATGTATATAAAGCGGACTACAAAATTCAAGACACTGACGGTTTCCATAAACACAATCCCAGACTGGGACTGCTGCTCCGGGGGCAGTATGGGAACGTCACAACAGAATACACAGGGCACCATGTGGTGTGTTCCCTTTAAATCAATAAAACAGGCCCAGCCTCCAGGTCAATGCACAATATACCACTGACATGTGGCCACAGAGCCTAAAGAAACCCAGAGGATATACTATACATTAACACACAACACATATGGACCCATGGGATCTACACAAACCAAACTTTCCAGTGCATGTTGATTACAACACAAGGTTCAAATCAAATTAGGACCATAGAATTCAACATTTTAAGTCTCTGAAGGCAACCTTTCTTGGTTCAACGGCTGACATTACAACTATTGTCTTTAGAAAGGCATGATTGCGTGAAACTGCATCAAAACTACTGCTCTCCTAAACCACAAACTAAGTGTTTGCATTGGTTGGGTCAAAAGGTAAGAGTCCTGCATGTACAGTCACCCTGAAGCCCAAAGGCTGTATCTGTGGTGGTTCTGTGGCTTTTCAAGTATCATCCACACTTCTGAGCGGACTCCTGCTCCGCTCTCTAACCACTGTGTCATGGCACTCTATTGCTCTCGTTCAAAGCCGTGAAGCTCAGTCAGAGGTAGAACAATTTGGCGTCACAATTGTTTTTGTTTCTGTTTCGTTGTGTTGCGGGGTTAGACTGTCTGCAGGATATGAGTAAGACGAAAGTGGGTCAAAGGGTGTACAAGACTGGCCTCCACACAACCAGCTAAGACCTAGAGACGCACAAGAATTGCACACATGTGAATACAGTAGAGAGAAACTGCCCGATATACAAAATAAATACACCAAAAATAACTTAGATAAGAAAAAAAACGAATCAAGAATGGTCTCAGAAGGAGCGGACGGGACGCTGTGGTGAGGGGTGAGGCTCCATGGACTGGCTCAGCGTTCTGGATCTGCAGGAAACTTTAACCACAACCGTATCATTCAGTGCACCTCAACCACACCCCCACAGGCTCCGGAGCCCCCCCGACCCACCACAGCTCTCCCCCTCCCCCTCGAGATGGCCCAGGAACCACCACTGCTTCCCTCCTCCCTCACCAACACGCTCACAAGCAGAGAGTAAATGTGACTGTCGAGACAAAAACAAACCACGGTCTTAAAGAATTTGTTACAGCCAAATTAAGGGGCTCTTTCACATTTGTTGGTGAAGTTCACTTGGGGCAAAAAAAATGATATTGCTTTGTAGATATAAAACCACCAAAAAGGTGAACATGTCTGTGCACTGCAAAAACGGATGAAAAATAAGTTAAAAATGCCTCAAAGTTGGCACAATGTATCTTACATGAGCACATTTTGACTTAAAACAAGATTTGGCAAAGGGACAAATTGGGACAGTTGTTTTAAAAAGATGCAATAAATGTCTCCTTTGGAATGAGAAAATAAAGCAACAGTTGTTTAAATAAGACTAAATGGTTTTGGTCCCATTGGCAATTCTTGTTTTAAGACAGAATGCACTCAAATTAAGACCACAACCATTCGATTCAAGCCATTATTAGCTCCTATTGAATCATTTTTTGCAGTGTTCTCCACTAGCCACTTAAAGCTGGAGTACCTAACTTTGAAACCACAAACACATTATGCAATAAAATCCATGTAACTCACTCCTCGCTCTCTAAAGAGTTTGGTTCCATCCCTAGCTTTTACATGCATGTATTTTGGTTCCGGTCACCCTTTAAAACTGCTTTCACAGACAAGCTGATTTAAAAAGAGGATACGTCCCCCTCTCAGCCAATCAGCTCTCAGGTATTCCAGCTTTAAGTCACGTCAAACTTTTGAAACTTTTTTTTTTTTTTTACCCCAAATGAAGCAGATTTAGTCCAGTAAAAGTGAACCAGAGAGTGAACATGCCATAAATCAGTACACGGGCAGAAATGATGGAAGTTTCAAATGGATCGTGAATAGTAAAATTACATAAAATATCAATATTTTTTCACCTGTTTTTCTAATGTAATAAATTCCAATACAAACAAATAATAATTTTTTGTTTTTTTTTTAATTTTTAAAGGCCACTCTGAAAACAGTTCAGGATGGTCAGAATTTGCAACAATTTTAAGATTTCTAAAAGACAGCCAGCTCAGGTCAGCCCTACGTTCTTTGATATTTCTCTGCTTGCAAGAGTGAACAGCGAATCATTCTCAAGGATTTTCAGTAGCTGCAAATTCTGTCCCTGAGATATCTATGACCCAACTGGAGGAAATGATGAAGTGCCCTGATTTGTTCTTCTCCACGGGTCCACAAACTCGGGCTGCATGAACCACAATAACATCTTCAGTGTTTTTAACAAGAATATAAAATTAGTCAATGGTGTTAAACAAAACAACCCCAAAATTATGATTATTTTCTTTGTTGAAGTTGGTAGTTACTAAACAATAGCCTAAGTTCACATGTTGCTATTCATTTGGTGGTATCTAGAAGTCATAGGCAGAAATAGTGAGGCTCAGAAATGTGTTCAAAAGACATAAGACATAAAGGTTTGCAGGTAACAGTCTGTTGGAAGGATGTGAATCGTAGTTTCTAGTGCAAAAACAGTGGAGACGGTGCTCCACCCAAAAGGGCATGAAAGTCTGAGAACAATCGTATAACACAGGAGTAAATACGGCCAATACTGATATATACTAAAAAAAACCATTATTCTGAATTAAGCCTGATAATATTATTGTTAAAGAAGAAATATATTGCATTTCTTTCTTCCATTAATAATATCTAAACAATTCATTTTGTCATTCCATGTTTTAGAATGTGAATTAAAATAGTCAGTAGAACATAGAATGATGCTGGGAATAATGCTATCGGCCTGCCCTATCCCTATGCTACCACTATCGGGAGGAGTCCAAATTGTTGTGGTTTTTGTTTGTTTTCAAATTAGAAAATTACCAGCTGCAAACACATCCATTGGATTGCAAACAATAGCAACAACATCATTTTTGCTTTAGGAGCAGTACTTTTGTTTGTGTAAGGCAGGAAACTGCTCTGAGCGTGATGTCATAGTGGTGCAATGACATCATAATATTACAGGACTGAGACAGGAGCTTTGAAACAGAAGAAGGGGCGGAGTTAGATACCAGAAGTAGCTGATATTAGCGTGGATGGATCTAAAAACAACTCCAGGTCTATTTTTAGTGAGGGAAACAATGTTGTAACATGGTTAAAAGCTGAAAAAAAGAAGGACATTTTGCATAATATGTCTCCTTTAAGAGAATTATTGTGCTTTAGATTTGTTTCAGTCAATAAAGAAGTGTGCCCAATTGATTTGCAGGCTGTTTGCTGATAAGGATTTGTAACACTGACAATAATAGACCTCTATATACTGTAGGAGCTGCACTCACCGGACCAGTTTTACCAGTAAGTGATGCTAAGGCTAACGCTAACTCCACCCCGAAACTCCTACAGCCTGTTGACTTACAGCACGTGACTAAGTGGAAGGTCAATGTCCATCTATTTATATGGCATGTTTTCAGAAGGCATAATACAAGTCACTTTGATCCCAGTGTTCTTTAAAAAAAATTAAAAAATAAAAACACAAAAAAAAAAGCAGACGATGTTTACCACGCAAGGAAAATGTTAAAATAAAGGAAATACAAAATTAACAACTCTAAAAATTAACAGGTGAATGGTTGGAGGTGCAAAATGCTTTGTTCGGAGTCTTTGGAAAAATCAACTTTAGTCACCAGGACGCCTTCACAACCGAAAAACCTTCTTGATTTTTGAATACTCTTTCTGGCAGAAGACATTTGAATTATAAGGCATTCCCAGGGTCTGCGGAGGATACATGTTGAAGTGCAAAAAAGATCATTCAGTCCTATACAAAACTTCTACATGTAGACCAAAAAAATATCGACAAGGTCCTGTGGAGGAATCTCACAACATCTTGGCATTGCGTTGGAAAGACGATTAAAAGTATAAAAATGGGGTGTCTCCGTCCCGCGGTGACTCTCTTCTCTTTTGTTTCTACTCCGCAGCAGACCCGTGTCGGATTAGACAGTGCCGAAATGTCCTCACGTGGAAGATTGGGGGTGGGGAGGGGGAGGGGGGGGTCGTCTCACCTCTGCCCCACCGCGCCTCGTCCTCCCCGGCCAAACAGGAGGCTGAGCAGAGCTGTCGCCAGACGCCACCACACCGGGCGCTGGTGCAGATGGTTTTGGTAATACTGTGAAAGAAAAACAAGTATAGTCAGTCAAAAAATGTGTCAACAGAAATCCCTCATGTTTGGTCAATTAAAGGGGATGTCTGAAACTTGATTTGTGCTTAATTTTGTAGCACTAGTTTATTTTCTTTGGTCACTGTACTTATTTGGAACTTAGCTCACACTGTTTGAAATACGTTAGTTTTAAGAATGCACCAATACCACTTTTTTCCAAATCAATATGAGTATGAATACCTTGATTTGAGTACTTGCAGATATCGAATACTGTTACGAGTACTGCACATGGACTGTGAAATTCACTACATTGTGTCATCCCTGGGAATTCATGAAACTATAACAACTGAAATTTAAAATGTATAATTTTTGATTTCTCAGAAGAAAAAAAAGTGTCATACGGCTGTCCACTTGCTGCTAGCTTGCATGTTGCATACTTGTGTATGAGTACAAGCCTATGGTATCGACCCGATACCAGTATCATATCGGTTCATCCTTAGTTACTTTTGAAAAATCTTTTACATGACAGCACAGAATCATAACTATGCATTCTTTTGAAAATGAAAAAGTAGCATCACCTTTAAGTATTAAATGATAAGCATCACCAGATTTGTCTACAGGAGAAAAGTTAGGGCCTAAACACTCTATTAAAGTGAAATATACATTATCAAGCTTTTATTTACTATAAAGTTGATAATTGGCTCAGAGCTTGTAAAAACCCCAATGAAACATTAAGACTATTTTGATAAAACAATAACATGTTTGGTATATGTCACTTTGCATATGATGAGCCAATATCATATTTTGGTTTCACCTGAATTTTGGTTTTAACCTGAATTAAAGAAAAAAAATGAACGTTAAGTAGTGAAGCTAGTAAATCTATGTCTCTCCTGTAGGATTTGTAATAAATTCTATATTATGAACTATGCATCTCCTGGGCCTTCCCATATTCCCTTTCTGTTCTACTAGATTCTACTAGTTGAGTATGCAAACAGGCTATCCTCTGTATCTATTTACAGTGTGTGGCTACTTAAATGTAATTATATTCTTTCTGATAGTATACTCCGAGTGACAGGAACATCCTGGAGGCGGGAAGACAGAACTAGACAGCGGAACGTGGCTCGTGTTTTGACAACAGTCTGTCCTGTCATTGACAACATACTTATTAGAAAGGGCTTGTGTCCCAGTGCCATGTGGGCTTCCTTTCACACATCCCCAACTAAAAACACATTCATCTCTGGGTCAAACCGTCCCAGATTTTTCAGCATTACAACTGTGTGAGCCATTTGGTCCGTGTGTGATTATTGGACGGATAATACTAGTGTGCTGACAGATAAGATTTGACCCCAAGAGGCTGCGGAGTTTCTTCACCGGAGGCAGAGACGGAGCATAAGAGATGCATTATTACAACTATGAGTGAGTGGTCAAGTAAATTTTTGTTTTGTCTTGTTTCCTGAAGATTAATTTGACCTTGTACTATCTATCCATTTTCTGCATTCTGAAGAAGAGATGCCCAGATTTCCTGCACACACACTTCCTCCAGCTCATCTGGGGGATCCTGAGGCAACCCAGTCCAGCTGAGAGACAGTCCCCCCACCTTGTCCTGGCAGATCCCCAGGGACCCCATATTAGATTACGGTTTATTGTATCAACGGCCCTTAATGTGGTGCTGCTGGCCCATGGTTAAGATGTCCTGACATTGACCCAGTAACCGTGATAAGCCATTACGGGATATTGCATAAGCTCAGATGCTTTTATTTACAGTGTGCCATATTTCTCTGAAATGGGAGGGTAGGGCCGAATAAAAACAAATACAAATACTCGTCTAAGGCTTCATGTGATTTGTGGAGATAAAGTATAGTTTAACAAAGTTCAGACGTATGTCTTGGCGTATGCCGCTCTGCTGGAGCTCCAGGGCAGACCTGGATGAACTATCACTGTTTTTAAGTTTCAACAGAAGCAGAGCTTTGTGACATTGACCCTATGCCCTTAACTCTGTTAGACACATAGAGCACCATCAGCACAAACACACCCAGAGTCATATTCAGAGGTGTGTAAAGAACTTTCACAACAAGTCACGAGTCAGTCCTGCAGCTGTCAGGATAAGTCTATATTTAGCCCCTGATAAAGCGGCAGAGTCTGCGCAGATGCTCCTGTCGTCACAGTGACACTGGCCGGGCTTGCTTTATCAACGTCCCTGCGTCTGTCAGAAGCACTGCCTTATCTGCCAGGACAAACAGAGCAGCTAACCACTGCAGCAGACACTGGATTAGTCACATCAGGGAGGAGACACAAGCCAAACACAAACACAGCTTTATCTGATGCAAAAAAAGCATGGGCCTGACTTAAGTGTGTTGCTAAAACTGAGTAGCATCCACAGAGTATCCTGGTAAAAGTCCTGTTCTTAATACTCAGCTGTTTGTAAAGAGCAGGGCAGATTTGGCGGCTGAAAGAGAGAGCCCTGCCCCTAGGCCAACAGGACAGAGATAAAGCGCCATACACAGTGATATTCAAGCCACCTTTCAACACCTCCTATCAAAAGCACCAGGGCTTGTCTCTGTTAAAAAAACACAGATGAAACCTAACTCTGGAGCGGGCCCAGTGCAGCAGTCTTCCTGCCATTGTAACTCATTACTGGCCAGGCTCAAATGGCCAGGCCTTCCTCTGGGGGAACTTAGTCCCCTCCAGCTCTCTCTGACGAGGAGCAATTTATCTGTCAGCATCCAGCAACTCTGCTTCGCTACTTAATCCCTGCTTTAGCCAGGGGCCTCAGGCCCCGTGATAAACACTCAAAGGCACAGCGCTCCCAAATCTATCAAGAAAAGAGCAGAGTAAAGCACTTTGAGGGCTCAGGGACAAGTGCTTGTGCTGAATATGTGTAATCACTTTGTGACACCAAGGAGACAAACGCTAACACCAGCAGAGTACTGTACCCAAGGAAGAGCCAGAAACTCACAGGTGTATTCAAAATATAATTTGCCACACAAAAGAAGACTGAAAATTACAGATTCTTATTATCCCAAAGTCACCTCCATATGACATCACATATAGGTCACACTGTCCCGTGTGAAGTTTACTCAAGCGGCCCACAAATCACTTTCTCTTCCTGTGCCTGCGCCCCCCATGTGTGGGCCATCAACAGAGACCAGACACACAACAAGACTCCGTGAGTCTGACATTGTCTGCTTGTCTAATGTCTAATGCTGGTGTCACAACACATGAGTCATGCTGCACAGGGCACTCTGTTAAATATAGTGATCTAAGAAGTTCACCCGCCTCACATTTACAAAGCAACTTCATGAAGAGATATTTAGTTGTATTTCACTGTGGCTGTATACAAGATCTATATGTAGTGTGTATAATGGGCTGTTGTTGTCTCAGTCCGATGAGAGACTCCCTGGAACCACAGCTGTTCCCTCAGGGCTCACGGACGCAGCTTCGGGTTACAACATGTACACCTTCTCCCGCCACTTCTGCTTTCTCTTGCACCTAACACTGAGGCTACAAGTGCAGACGTTTGTACAACAGCCTTAATCAAAGAAAACAAAACAAAAAGCAGCACATAAGTTCTGTTCAAAGCCAAGCATCCTCTCAAGCTCCTGCCTGAGGAAACAGGAGAGAAATAAGAGAAATAAACAGGAAGAGCAGGCAAAGCAGGGGGAGGGCGCCAAACTGGCAGAGGTGGGGGAAGGGAGGTCCTGGTTTAGTTTGACAGAAGCAGAGGGGGCTGACGCACGGATAAAGTTCTACACATGCTCAGCCTCACCAAAACAAACAGCCAAGTAACACACAATAAAGTCTTGTTTGGATTCAAGTGTGTGATAGTAGTTACATGGTAATGGTCAGTTACTTACATCACCTTCATTTTTATAAATGCAAAACTTTTCAACAGTTTGAATTGCACACTGTGCGCTCGAGGTGCCGCAGCTCTCACCCGTTGTAGATGATCGCGGTGGAACTGGTCTCCTATCACCTGCAACCTGTGGCCGATGCAGGCCTCCATGCTGTGTGCTGCCAGAGGCTGCCTGGGAAGCAGATCCCTCCCGTTCTGCATCTCTCTCTCTGGTAGTGATCCACTTGCCTCTTGAGCTTCACTCAGTTCAAAATGTGCTGGGAAGTGCAATCGAAAACCTGCGTTGCCTGTTAGGTGAAAAATATATGATGAGCCTGATAATCATGCAGCCATAAAAGTCTTCTGTTGTGTCCCATTGATGAACGTTTTTCTATTTGTATATTTTATATACTTGCTTCGACTGAAGTTTGGACCCTACTCTGGGAGAGTCATATGTTTGTAAATTATCAGAGAGGGAAAGTGTGCTCTTTTATAGAGTTTCTGTTCTGTTTCAGGTGTTGTCACCTCCCATGTCTGTTCGTGCCGGGCTGGCGCCCTTTGAATGGCAAAGCAGCTGGGTACACTCTCTGTGCATCATAAAAACTGGACTATCAGGCGCCGAGGGGTGATCAGATTGACAACAGAAACTTCTAGTTCTCACACTATCTCACATTAGAGAAGCACGCTTCTGTTTTATAACTCGTAGTCACGCAGAATCACATGTTCCCTTTCCCTTCTGAGCAAACAAATGATGTCAGTGTAGAGTTTACCGTAAAAGAGTGGTCTGGGCTCCTGTGCCACTCCAAAAGGAAGCATGCCTTTGTTGAGGGCCAGAACAGGGCCAGGGGTCTGCGTGGCCCGGTCTTCACACTTTATCTCTCTGAATGAGGATTGCCAGCAGGGCAGGTCTGGCTCAAACACATCATCCTCCTCATCCTCCATGCGGGGTCACTGTCCGCTGAGTGGCCCTGTGAAGACAGATGAGAGTCTTAAATATGCATTCAACAAAATGTATTTTACATGTTTCTTGTTTGTTTCATGCCCTTGAATCAATAAAAACTCAATGTCAGGGTGGGAGAACCTGCGCAGATCAGCCCACACTAGTGATTGTGGATGTGTGCATGATTGAACAGGGCTTCAGTCTGCAGTGATGAAGATGATTTGGCTGTGTCAAACCAACCTGTGTTTCCTAACAGCAGTCTGACCCTGAATACAACTTGTCCAATGTCATTTTTATAGAGCTATTAATAAGAATTGTCTGTGTTCCGTAACAGAAGGACAACCCACTCTCAGGATGAACCCTATGATGGGTCAAACATTTATTAAAAAGTGGATGGAATCTAAACTGCCCTGAGAATCTCACTTGCCGTTGCCATGCAGTGAATTGTATCACAGGGTACTACTATAACTATACTACTATACTAGTACCACGAGTTTCCGCGGACTCGGGCCAAAGCATAATGACAGTGTGACTACTGTAACTCCCTCTGCTCTCTCTGGCTTGGTCTGTCAGGCTGCCAACACAGAGAAGGACTTTTTATTTGTTCACCCATCCTAAGCACAGGCCACCGCGTCCAGCCCTCACGCTACAGTCCATGCCCTCACTATAAACCGTGTGTGTAAAACCACTTAATGCTTTGTTTTCTTTAGCCCAGAGTAAGAACATAGAAAACACGCAAAAGTATAGTATCCAATTCTCAGATGTCCTCTTGTCCTGTGTGCTGTCTGCAATCTACTGGCCCAAGTTTGACAGACAGTGGCTCCCCCTGCTGCAAAGAGAAATAAACCAAACAAAAGAGGACGGAGACGCTGCTCTGTTATGACACAGATCGCTTGGCTTTTCTCATTTCATGCCATAAAACAATCACTTAATGCAACATGTATGAGCGCAGCTACAAACAAAGATTAGAATAATTTAAGATGTCCTCTCTCTACACATTATATTCTAACGCGATGGGTATTTCAAACAGTTAACTTTACAACAACAGCTTATTTTTTATAACACAAAAATGCTTTATCGTAGAGAAAAGGGAAATGAATGTGTTTGTTATCAAAGCGCTGAAGCGTGCGTAAAGTGCGTCGTGTGGATTAACCACGGGTGCGCGATGCCGGCCGCTTCAACATCACACCACGCAAAACACATTGTTGTTAATCAGAATTTTGCACAAGTTGCACAAAACACAAACATAGAGGACTGCGTATAATGTATTGTGTCTCGATTTCAATAAAAAACAAATCTTTTAAATTATTTTGTTATGTTACATACGCAGCAGTGGCAGCAGAGCTAAATAATAAAATAGTAAACAAAAGGTAACTCTTCCACTCACCTCAAACTCAGTCTTTCTTGTCACAGCTTTAGTCAGTAAAATAAGATAGAGTTCATATCCGTGCGCGGCCAAAAGTTTAGTCCGAATCACCTCCACGACAAGTTCATTCTGCGCGGAAAAAGAAAAGCGGTGGATTTCATTTCTGCCGACGTCAGCTGCGTGACTCCGCCGCCGGGTGCCGTGGAGACTGGGGGACGGTTAGTAAATAAAGCACCCTTTCCTGCATGTCAGAGAGAGGCGCTTTATAGCCCCCCACCCCCCACCCCACTCATTTGCATACAGCCAATCAGCGTCTTTGTTTTGATCCCGCCTCCTCGACACACTTTTTCACGCACGTGGACGGGAAATTCCCCGTAGCACAAGACCTTTTGGTTTTACCACAGCAGCTGAGCGGTGCAGAATCATGGACTGACTACATGGACACTCCTAACCTAAAAGGGAAGTGCTCATGGGCGAGGAGTTCCCGCTCTCAGGCCCAATCCCAATACCCACACTCCACCCTACACTCCCTACGAAGTGTGCATTTGTTTGAAGTGCACGCAAGGGGTTACAAGTGTGCAAAAAAGCATTCATTTTCTGACCTAAACTTTAAAAAAATGTCAGGTAATTTTGTCTGACCCTGTGGGAAACAAAATGAGTTGCTACACACACGTTAAAATAAATGCATATTGATTATTTGTAATTTGAGGGTTATCTGTATCTGTATAATTTTAAGTTAAATGTGTGTAACTAACTGTTATCTGGTATGTTTTTATACATCCTAAGTTCAATGTACTAAGTGTAAATTTTAAATTGAATGTTATATGAAAGCTTGCTTTAAAAAGTTATTAAATTGTTAAAATACAATGTCCGTAATTCTTCATCAGAAATATATGCTTCTTTCCAAGTAACATAGCAAAACTTATTTACACACATACAGCATATGCTGTATATTTCAAAACATACACTTAAATGCATTTTCCCGACGTTTTGGTGTGTACCGCAAAGAATTATGGGCAATATCCTTTCGCCAGAGTGCGCATTGTCATCATGGATCTATTATAATAACTGGATAGGGTATTACTAGCTTGTAGCTGAATAACTCATGTGCTCGGGGGATTCTCGCGGTACTGCAGACTAGACCAGACTAAATTCACGTGGGCTTCCCAGAAATTTTCCCCATAGAACTCAATGCATATTAAAACAGCTCAACCTCAGCTGACAGAGAACCTACAGCTTTAATAAAGATAGTATTTTGTGGGGATTTTAGTGTCCCTTGTCATCCTGAAAATTTTTTCTTCTTAAATCCTTCGGTTTTCTTTAAAACTACACTTTAGTGCCACAAACTCTGCTCGTCTGGCTCTCGCTCTAACTCCCGCTCTGATGAACTGCTCTGATTGGGCCGAGCCCCTCTGTGCACGTGCGTGAGACCCGGTGTGAGACCCACACACGTGTATTTGGCGCAACGCATATTGCAAATGGCTACTGCAAATGGCAAATAAATGAATCTGAATCTGGCAAATAAATGAATCTGAATCTGAATCTAATGGGAGATCATCCTCTGCGCAGAACCGGGAGGAACAGACGATGGCCAAATACAGGCGAGTTTCCCATAGATCTTTGCGAGTTCCAGGCGACTTCCGCTAATCTTTCAGCCCCCATGCCGTCACAAAGCGCCACTGAGCACAACCATTCATTTGAATAGGGCGCCATCTTGGATCGCTGGGGCTTGATTGTCACTCCCGTATTCGTCCCGGAAACCGGATTCGTCCGGAAGTTCAGTTTGATCCAATGAGCATACGCAGCAGGAGATTACGTCACAAAATCGGGACGGAAGCGGAAGTAAATGAAACAAACTACCTATTCATGCCTAAACTTAACCAGCCATTCCCATAAAATAACCCCAACCCAGCCTTAACCCTAAACTTAACCATCTTAATCAGACGCCTAAAACTTAACCAGTCACCCCTTAAGGACTTATTACACTTTTTGACATGCGCAAACTGAACTTATGGACGAATCCGGTTTCCGGGACGAATACGGGAGTGACACGCATAGATGCAGGCTATAGCAAAATGTGGATCAGGGGCGCAAAGGGGGCGGGGCCAAAGACCTCCCTGGAGAATTGGGACACCCTACGCACTCGCACCCATCATCGGGAACGCACAAATGAGGGGCGCTAGAGTGGAAGTGCGAGTATTGGGACAGGGCCACTTTCATTCTGAAAGCAGCAGCAGAAGCACGAGACCTTTTGGTTTTAAGATAAGTACTGTAGCTGAGCGGTGCAGAAGCATGGACTGAATACATGGACAATGCAAACCATGCTAACCTTAATGAGTCATAAAGTGCTTCAATAATAATAATAAATAATTGGTTTAATAAAGCATGTCACATGCTTTTCAATTGTTGTGGGTATTTGTCCACTCACTTCACACATGGGAGTGGGATATAAGCCGCATGCCAGACCTATTGTAGAAAGAATTTTATTTTTTTATGGCCCTAAATCACAACAATAGTTATCTACCCAAATTTGTCGATTGGGCAGCATAGACCCGATAATCAAACTGTTCAAACACAGAAAATACAAGATTAAAAACGCATAGCGCCATTTGTCCATGGGCGGATGACCAATGTCCAGTCAAGGGGGAACATGCAAACTCCACACAGAAAGGCCTGGAGGTGGAATCAAACACAGAAACTTCGAGCTGTGAAGTGTTACCCACTGTGCCACTGTGCTTAGATCATTAAAATCAGTGATTTAAGAATCTCTGTGATCCTGGCTAATGCTTTAGGAACTAATGTCAAAAGCTCCATCAAGCTTATGTTCAATTTGGCTTCTACCACATGTGGGAAACACTGTTGGTGACATCAGCACTTGGTCAGTTCACGTCTAATATACCGTGCATTTCTTACCATGCATTTTCACACAAAACTACCTTCATATGCTTTGGTAATGATGATCCTTTCCACATGTGAGTGTGTTTACACCTTACTGTTTGTTATTGTTTTCTGCTCGGTAGTATTTTTTATAAACTCTCCTATAATTAAATATTTCACATAGATTCAACAATAAATGTGAGGCAAATGGCAGGAATGCTCCAGAAAACCCTGGACCGTTTGGTGAGTATCAGACCAACTGGGAAACAGCTTTTCTGGTGAGAATCTAATTTTGTTTGGCAAGAGCCAGCCATTTATATTAAAGTCAGTTTCTGTTGACTACTAAATCATTGCTGTACCATGTAGCACTTGTTTAGATTGTAATCAGATGCAGGACTATCTAATGTATAACAAATAATTAGAAGATTATTATGCTCATTTTACTGGTGACTAAGGGTCAACTACAGCTCTTGCTTCCCAGAGATATCCTCATGTCCACCTACAAGCACATGTGCTCTCCGTCCCACATGAATTAGTGATGCTGTGAGCTTTGATTATGTCCTGCCACCTGCACAGCGTCCAAAGGGATGGCGAGCAGAGGAGGGGGCTGCTTTCCTTACTGTGCTATAGGATCCTTGATTGCGTTTTGCATGACTGAGCCCTGCCACAATAGGCTAAGAAGAGGGCATTAGTTGCAACTTACCCTGACAAACAAAGAAGACACAGCCATCTAAGGTTATGCCACTGACAGAAGATACTCATGAGAATAAAAGCCACATAACAAAGAGACAACATGAAATTGCATGACATACACAAACTTTTTTTTACCTTTTCCCCATCTACACAAGTCTCTAGAATGACGTGAAGCTGCACTGACATGACCACAGCACACTCAGATGACCTCTGTAAAGCCTTGATGCTGATGATCACAGACAATTGTGATCTCAAAAATCAGTTGTTATTTTGAATGAATTGATCACAGAAATGAATTGATCACAGAATTTTGGTATGGTATGGTATAAAACTAAACATGTTTATGTGCCAGAAAGGCTCAGTCAAAGTACAAAACTATCCAATCCAGAAATGTTGGCCATATATCAAAAAACTTCAAATTGAGCTGTTATGTAAAGAAGAATTGGAAACAAAATTCATATCTAGATGTGCAAAGCTTTTATAGAAAACTACAGTACGTAACGGTACTGTATAATGTTGCTTTCACTTTCACTTACACTCACTTCACAATTTAGTCTGTAGGATGACATATCAATCAATCAATCAACGTTTATTTGTATAGCGCCTTTCCTACACAAGGCAACGCAAAGCGCTTCACATCCCCTATCACATCATGCATAAATCAAACACATTAAGAGCACAAGATATATTAAAAACATTAAAAATAAAATCACAAAAATTAAAAACCTTTAAACATTAAAATCACAGATGGGACTAAAATCATAAATAGTCACAGTGCATTAAAAAGATTAAAGATAAAAACAAAGATGAAAAGATAAAATCATTCAGTTGTATATGCGCAGCTAAACAGAATTGTTTTGAGCCTAGATTTAAAGGATGCCAGAGTAGACGCCTGTCTCACATTCTCAGGAAGACGGTTCCAGACTCTAGCCGCATGAATCTGAAATGCAGTTTGCCCATGTCTAGTACCGACTCTGGGCACTAACAGGAGTCCAGTCCCTGTGCTCCTCAGAGTCCGGGTCGGTTCATATGGCACAAACATGTCGTGGATGTACCTTGGCGCGAGACCATGGAGAGACTTGTACACAAGTAAAGCTGCTTTGAAGTCTATTCTCTGAGGAACAGGAAGCCAGTGCAGAGACCTGAGAACTGGACTAATGTGGTCGCACTTCCTAGTTCTGGTCAGGACTCGAGCTGCAGCATGTTGAATGTACTGCAGCTGTTTTACAGCCTGTTTGGAGAGACCTGTGAACAAGCCATTGCAATAGTCTAACCGACTGGAGACAAAAGCGTGTATAAGAGTCTCCAAGTCTGCCTTAGACACTATGTTTTTAATTTTAGCAATGTTTTTTAGGTGGTAATAAGCTGCTGATGTTACAGATTTTATGTGGCTTTTGAAATTTAAGTCTGAGTCCATTATCACTCCTAGATTTCTGACCTGATTTGAGGGTTGTAGAGAGAGAGCCTGGAGGTGACAAATAACGCTCTCTCTTTGTTTCTGGGGTCCGAAAACAATTATTTCAGTTTTGTCGGTGTTTAGTTGGAAAAAGTTATTTTGCATCCAATCACCGATTTGCTGGACACAGTGAAGGAGCGAGTCCACTGGTTCATGCTCTCCTGCTGTCAGGGACACATAGACCTGAGTATCGTCAGCGTAATTGTGATAAGAGACATTATTACTGTGAATCAACTGACCTAGAGGCAACATGTAAATATTAAACAGAAGAGGACCCAGGATTGACCCCTGTGGCACTCCGCAGGTCAGGGCCAAGTGGTCTGAGGTACAGTTTTCGATCTCCACAAAAAACTTTCTGTCTTGTAAATAGGACCTAAACCAGCTTAGGGCGGTGCCAGCA